TGGGCAAATAATTTCCAACAAAGGAGCCAAAAACAAATGAGCCGAAAGCTTCTTCAATAAATGGTGCTGAGAAAATTGGAAAGCCACATGCAAAAGAATGAAACTACGTTGCTGTTTGTCACCATACACCAAAATTTATTCAAAATGGATCAAAGACATAAATATAAGACCTGAAACAATAAAGTACATAAAACGAAACATTGGTCTTAGAGAGGACTTTATGAATTTGATCTCAAAAACAAAGGAAGTAAAAGCAAAAAGAAATGAATGAGATTATATCAAACTAAAAAGCTTTTACACAGCAAAAGAAACCATCAACAATATAAAAAGGCAACCAACTGAATGGGAGAAGACATGTAAACGACAACCCTGATAAAGGGCAATATCCAAAATAAATAAAAAACTCATATAACTCAATGACAACAACAACAACAAAACCCAAACATTTCAAATAAAATATGGGCAGAAGACCTGAACAGAAACTCCTTCCAAGACAGACAAAAGGCCTACGGATATGTAAACCAATGGTCAATGTCACTAGATATTAGGGAAATGCAAATTAAAACCACAATGAGATGCCACCTCACACCTATGAGAATGGCTCTTATCAACAAGACAAGGAATAACAAGTGTGGGAGACATTGTGGGGGAAGAAGGAACCCTCATACACTGCTGGTGGGAATGTAAATTGGTACAGGCAGTAGAAAACAGTATGGAAGTTCCTCAAAAAACTAAGAATACAATTACCTAGTGATCCAACAATCTCACTCCTGAGGATCTACCCAAAATATCTGATAATTTTTATCTGTAAAGATATATGTACCCTTGGGCCGGCCGAGTGGCGCGATGGTTAAGAACTGGCTTGGGACGCCAGAGGGCCCAGGTTTGAATCCCACATATGAGGACCAGTGACACTGCCCTCTACAGCTAAGATGCTGAACAACAGCTCAACCTGGAGCTAGGCTGCCGTGAGTCGCTGGCGATGGCGTAGGCTGCAGCCCCTGCTGCAGTGGGTTGCCATGGGCTACCGTGTGTAGCCAGCAGCCAGCGTGAGTGGCCAGCAGCCACAGTGAGCGGTCGTTCAGAAGACAGCGACTGATCTGCCTCGCCTGGGAAGAGCGTAATGATGGTGCCAACTTGGGCCAGTGAAGCAACATCCTCCACAGCTAGACTGAAGAACAAAACGACAGCAACTTGTCTGTTCCCCTTCCCCCAATTCCCCAGCGCTGTTCCCATCCCCCCAACTCCCCAATAAAAATCTTAAAAAAAAAAAAAGATATATGTACCCTTATGTTCCATTACACCATTATTCACAGTGGCCAACACATGGAAACAACCAAAGTGTCCTTCAGTAGGTGATTGGATAAAGAAGATGTGGTACATATATACAATGGATTACTCAGCCATGATAAAAGATGAAATCCTGCCATTTGTGACAACATGGATGGATCTTGATGTTATCATGCAAAGCGAAGTAAGTTAGAAAAAGCCAAGAACCATGTGATTTCACTCATAAGTGGGACATAAAACTAAAAGCAAAAAACAAACAAGACAAATAAACAAGCAAACAAAAACTCATAGACAACAGTATGGTGGTTACCACAGGGAAAGGCAGGTTAGAAAAGGATCAAGTGGGGTCAAATATATGGTGATGGAAGGCGACTTGACATTGGGTGGTGAACACGCAAGGCAATATACCATATTTTGCTGTGTATAATGCACACGTTTTTGGCTGAAATTTCAGGGAAAAATCTCTTTCATCTTAATTATTTAATTTAAATTTTTATTTGTTTACATTTATGTACTTGTTCATATTATAAAGGAATTTTATCATTTATTTATTAACATATTAAGGTACAATAAATTTTATGTAACAAATAATTACAAAACACAACAACACATACAAGGTAGAAAAAATTTTAGGTACTGGCAACAAATTTACGATATTTACGCATCACAGAAGGCCATGAACTCATGGTTGTTGCAAGTTCATTGTAAGTTCAACAAAACCAATTACTGTATTCCAGAGTATTTGTTTCAGTTCAGATATCGTTATTGATTTCTAGAGTTACACTTTTTACTCATGAGCATAAAAAAAAATTTAAAAACATTTATATAGATATGGAATTAGTACTACCCATATATAATGCACATCCTTATTTTTCCCTCACAAATTTAGGCAAAAAATTGCACATTATACATGGCAAAATATAGAACCAATGAGGAATTATAGGCTTGTACCCCTGAAACTTATCTAAGATTATTAACCTGTAAATTTAATAAACTTATATAAATGAATTTAATAAAATTAAAATAAATGTAATCAAATTAAAAAATAGCTAACAAAAATAGGCACGACAAAAAGGTAAATAATGTATGATGCATATACAATTCTACATGATTTTGGAACATATAATGGAGGTCTAAAATTGATGTCTAGAGTCATCGCAATCACACGCAAAATTAGAGCATCCTTTTTTTTTTAAGATTTTATTGGGGAATTGGGGGGAGGGAACAGACAAGTTGCTGTCCCTTTTGTTCTTCAGTCTAGTTGTGAAGGATGTCGCTTCACTGGCCTATGTTGGTATTATTATTGTGCTCTTCACAGGTAAGGCAGATCGGTCGCCGTATCCCTGATTGACCGCTCACAGCGGCTCTTCTTAGCTCATGCCGGCTGCCGGCCACTCACAGGAGCTTTACAGCAGCTCACTGCAGCTCTACTGCAGCCTACGCCTCGCTGGCAACTCACGGCAGCCCAGCTCCAGGTGGAGCTGTTGTTCAGCATCTTAGGTGTAGAGGGCGCAGCATCACTGGCCCTAATGTGGGATCCAAACTGGGGCTCTGCTGCTCAGAGCTGGTGTCCCAAGCCAACTCTTAACCAATGCGCCACTCAGCCGGCCTAGAGCATCTTTTGACAACAAAAAGATAGGTTCTAAAACCTTTATGAAGAGATAAAGGATTTACACTGTCCAATATAATTATGAAAAAGAAACAAGGTTGGGAGATGCACAATTACTAATTTCAAAACTTATTTTAAAGCAACAGTAATCAACAAAGTATAGTATCAGCAAAAGGATTGATACACATCAACAGAAGAGAATACTGATTCAAGAAACAGAACCGCAAATACTATAAAATCAAATGATTCCCAACAAAATTGCCAAAGCAATTCAGTGGTGAAGGTATATTCTTTTCAAAAAATGTTGTTGGAATATCAAACATACATAAGCAAAAACAAATCATCTTGATCTAAACCTTGCACCATAAAAGTTAACTGAAGATATCACAGACTAATTATAAAACTTAGAAAAACAGGAGAGAAAATCTTTGTGACTGCTTTAGGAAGATTTTTTACATAAGATCACAAAAGCATAATAAAAAAGATTTAAAATTTTGGAAACTTGATTGATTAAACACTTCTGCTCTTTGAAAGATACATGATGAGAGGAAAACATAGGAGAGACCTATGATCTCTAATAAACAGATTTGGCACTCAAAATCTTCACACATCATATCCCCCAAACAACAGGCAACTTTTATCAAATAAAATACAGGGGAAAAAACATTAAACAAAGAAAAAGAAAAAAAAAGGTTGAAAGTGTCACATTCTTTTGATGAGGCTAATATAAGCATAATACCAAAATTGGATGAAACACGAAAAAAGAAATGATAGCCTCACCTAACTTGTGATACAGACTTATTTATAAGTATAAGCAGAAAGATTCCAGCCAACTCATCAGCAACTAGGGTGCATACAGAAAATCAACAATAAATTAATTTTAGAAAATTGACTTTGCTACTCACATTATTTATAGATTAAATGACATAAACTGTCATTATTTTAGTGTATACAGAAAAACTACTTAATACATTCAAAGTATATTCATGACTAAACTGAAATTAAAGGAAACTGGAAATTAGAGGGAATATACATATCAAAGTTTACCGAACAAGAGCCCACAGCAACCCTCAGGGCTCATGATGAAACTGTGTGTATTTTCCCTCAATACTGGATTTATTTCTACTTCTTCTTTTTTTTTTTTTTTTTTTTTTTTTAATTTTTTATTGTTAGTTTCAGGTGTACAGAACAATGCAATAGTTACCCTTTTCACCCTCACAAAGTAACAACCCCCCTCCCCCCATCCACTGCCCTCCCACCCCCGATATCATGCTTATCTATTACAATTCCATTGAATCCGTTCCCGCACTCTACTCCATGTCCCGAGGTTATATATGTATATATAATTATCGTTGACATACAGTATTATTCAACATCAGTTTCAGGAATACAATGCGGTCGTCAGGCCTCTACATCAACTATTAAGTGGACTCTCCAAAAGGACATGGGTCCATCTGGCCCCCTAAGAAATGCTTACAACATTATTGATTGTATTCCTCGAACTGTCTTTTTCTATCCCTGCAGCCAAATTACAATTACCCAATTGTATTGTCTCATCCCTTCCCCTTCTCCTTCATCCCCACCCCCTCCCTACTAGCAACCCTCAGTTCTTCCTCTGTGTCTCTGAGACTATCTCCGTCCACTTCTCCCATCCATTCAGCTCCTTAGAATCCACGTATAAGTGAGATCATATGATATTTGTCTTTCTCTGACTGGCTTATTTCACTTAGCATAATGTTCTCTAGTTCCATCCATATTGTTGCAAAGGGTACTATTTCCTTCTTCTTTATACCTGAATAATACTCCATTGTGTAGATGTACCAAAGTTTCTTAATCCAGTCATCTACCGATGGGCATTTTGGTTATTTCCAAGTCTTAGCTATTGTGAATAACGCTGCAATGAACATAGGGGTACATATATTTTTTTGGATTAATGTCTTGGGATTTTTTGGATAGATACCTAAGAGTGGGATTGCTGGGTCGTAAGGTAGTTCCATTTTCAGATTTCTACTTCTTCTTTTTCATTGAATATATGGACCCTGATAAACATCAAAAATCCATTATAATGCAAAGGAGAAAATGAATACAGATCTCACCTGAGGTGTGTTCATTCTGCTGCTCTGGGGACAGTGTAGAGAACTGGGAAGGTTCGGCGGGGAGGCCAAGGAAGGACCATGCAAGGGCAGCACCACCTGTGCACATGAGACTGGAAGTGGTCATGGGGACTAAACCATACAGCTGTTCATTGACTCAAATTTTCTATAGTTAAACAACAACATCGTTAATTTTCTGAATGACTAACATAAACAACTTAGTTACACTGAAGTATATAAAGAATAAGGCATTGCTCTTTCACTAAAATTAACATAAAATACTCAGGCTGCACCACTCAACTCTTTACCTATTAACACAGCTTACATCTCAAAGAAAATCCACAGTAAACCCATTAAAGAACATGAGGGCTTGAAGGCAAGAATTTTTAATTTTAGTTTTAACTGGCTAACAGTTTCTCAAAACGTCCTTTTCATAAGATACTTTTGGTGACTGACCTGTGAGAAAGCGAACGGTAACAGTTTTCTTCCTTGCTCTGTCACAAACTGGGTGTCCCTTGACAACTCACTGAACGTCTCTGGTCGAATTCTTTGAAGGTTTCAAGAGTCAGAGGCTGATCACCATGAAAACCTTTCATGAGCCATAGTTTTGGGATTCTATAAGGTCAGGAAAAGTAAAAAACGTCACATGGACACATGTGAGAGCAGCACAGTGTTGGGAAGAGACAGGGGACCACTGAGCAATATTGGGAATAGAATTTCTCCCTGGTTGCTCCTTACGCCCAGACCTCACCCTCACAAGCTCTCCCACAAAGTGGCCTTCCCTGGGCAGCATACCCCTCTCAAATTTGACCCAAATCCTCCACTGTCACAGTGTGGTGGCTACAGTATGTGGCAATATCTCCAAATCCAGGCAGAGCTCGGATCAAGAACTTCTGACCGCGCAAATTTAGTCCCTGCTTCTTCCTGGGTTCTTTTGCCTCAGCTTGAAGCTCTGGTGAGGAGTAAGAACAGGGCTGTTCTCTTCCAGGTAACATTCCAGTTAGCTATTTGCTTTACAGGCGAAAACTTCTCAGACTGCCATTGTTTTCAGATGAGAAACAGGACTCTGATGCAGGTTCCTTCTGTCGCCCCTGCCTACAGGCGGCAGAGCTGGACTCTACCCGGTCTTTCCGGCCCCAGAGCTCAGGCTCTCGCTGCAGAGTGACTGCACGCACTTTCTGACTCTGTCGCGGTCTCATTATAATGCGCTTTCCCCTCCTGCCGCCCGCACTGGGTTTTCTCCCCTCCGGTGGCAGGCGGGGCGGGCACAAGGTCCCTGTGTTGTGGGCCAACCGAGTAGCCATCCCCTCATTCTCCCTCCCCCCACTGAAAAGCTTTTAAATCTTCTTTCCTATTGAAATGTTAAGTCTTCTCCCTAGTTTCTTAGCTCTTGGCTTTGATTACTCTTCCAACCAGTTTGAATCCTAGACTAAAGATTGCTCCTAGCCTGAATCCTAGAATTCTCCTCTCCCCCTGCTTCTTGATTGCTTTGTAAATCAGTTTCTGAATCCTAAACAATAGATTGTTCCTACCCCTGCTTCAGATAACTATTTGAGAGCCTGTGACTTCCCAATATCCCCCAGGTCAGTAAGCTAAATGCCAAACCCATTCAGGGGCCAGACAACTGATGCCATCTGAGTGACAGGCTGAATAGCCACAGGCTTCATGAGAGCTAACGGATTTATTAATTAAAATCTATTTTTCCTCATTCAGGTACCTTGGGGATCCATATAATGACACCCCAAAAAGATTGTCAGTCGCAACCAAAGAAGCCAACAAGGTCTTCCGGGCAGATCTCGAGACCCCTTCCTCTCATCTGAGATCAGCTAGGGTGAAAGCTCTGTGAACCCCCACTCGGCAGGGACAGCTCTATGCCCCTGCCCAGCAGGAAGCAGATACAGAAGAAGAGACCTCCTGTCTCTCAACTTCCCATAGAGATTTTATGGGGATCACGTCATTCAAGGGGAAAAGTTGGCAGGCAGTTAGAGGCAGGCATTGGGTCTCTGCATTCCTACATGTCCCAGAGTTCCACCGCCCAGGTGACCTCCCCTCTCCACCCAAAACTCCCCCTTTGTAGTGTAATTATCTACCCCTGTGAGAAAACAAATAGGCACAAAATACCCAACTCAGATCAGACCAGTCACTCGCACCTGCGCAGTACCTCTTGCCAATCACAGGTGCCAATCAAGTGGTCCCACGCCCAGAGGGGAACAGCCCATTCTAGAAAAAAAGGTATAAAAACTCCAAGTCCGGAGACGTCCAGCCTTTTTTTTGACTCCTTCCCTTTTCTGAGTCTCTTCCTCCCTTTTTGAGCCTTTTTAGCCTCGCCTTTGTGTGTGGCCCACACCAAACTCTTTGCAAGGTAATTTCTTATAATGGGCCCTTGAGCCATCCTCTACTGCTCAGGCCCACTTCTACTTCTTTTAAAAGTACTATCTCTTCTAATAAACTACTTTTTCACTACTTTTTTCCGGTCTCTGGTTCAATTCTTTGCTTGAGTTGCCAAGGACCTGGACTTTGTGCCACAAAGTGCCCATTCTCCGACAACATCTGCACCCCGGCCCCCACTGACCACCTGCACCCTGGGAACCAGAAAAACAGGGATCCCCCCATCATGTCCCGGCCAGCTCTGCACTGAAGATCCCACCTAGGGGATTCCCAGGACTTCCCCTTCCCTCCTCCCCAGACACATGCCCCCACCCGCTTCATGCTGGTCTCCAGATCGCCCAGATGCCCCATCACCCCCAGCTCTAACTTTACATGCAAAAGACGAGGTCCACGAGGTGCTCTGCACGTGACCAAGGACTGAGCAGAAGCAGGGTGGCAGGACTGGAACTGTACAGGAGCCGATGGAGCCCAGAAGACCTGTTCTTAAGGTCCGGAGCAACCAGCCAGTTACATACAACACTACATTTCTCATAAACCTCCACTCTTGCTCCTTTTAGCGATTTAGCAACATTTCCACTTTTTTAGATGGTAAAGTTGGATTTTGAGAATCCTCAAACCAAAGGGGTTAAACTTCAACTTTAACCGCCAAATTCAATGCGTCCTCTTCGAAAAAAATCCTGATTGAATGAGTAACAGCTGCCAAAGACCTTGGTTACAATTGGGGAAACTTGAATATGCACTGGGTTACTCTTAACTGTAAAAATAATACTGTAATAACACAGGAAAATATACTAGTTTTATAAAGGTATGCGTAGTATTTAGGACTGAAATTATATGTTTGTAAATTTATTTTACAAATATTCAGGAAAACCCCATGAGACAAAGCAAATATAACAAAATTATAAATTTTTTATGTAGAGGAAATGGTTGTAGATAAATGCATATTGTATTGCTTTCTAAATGTTGGAAAATTAGGAATACAAACTGAAAAAAAGGGGAGGAAAATATGGGTACTCCCTTCATGAGTGTACCTTTTAAATTCAAAGCTGCCATGAGAGTTTCAGGTTCATAGAGATATCTCTTAGGAATAAGGCTGTGACATGGGAATAAAATAATTAAAGATGGAGCATAGCAATATGAAAGAAAAATATTTTACTTTCCTTCACAAAACTCTAGCTAGGATTCTTAAGACTACTTCTCAAATAGGAATGTCAACATTGTCCTATAAAGATTTAAACAAAATACAGTTTCTAACAGCTGAAGGACTCACCCCAGGACGACATTATGCCCACTTAAAGTGCCTGCATTAGAAAATCAAGTCAGCCAAATAATTTCTTTGTTACGTTACAGCCAACACCTGAAGTTAGGGCACCTGTCTCCCAGACTCTGTGAGAGGGTAGAAGCCTAATTTCAATAAGTGTCAGTTAGCAAACCCAGATGGATTTTACAGGGACCGATTCTCCACTTCCAACTTTTTGTACTTTTCCAGTTCTCTCAATGTACTGAGCCACAGCTCACCCTCTCTCCCTCTCCTCATTCTCCCTTTTAAACTCCCAGTCACTTGTGTACAAATCGAAGTTAAGTTCAGTTCACACAGGACTCTTTTAACTATTGCAGTTGTATATTACCAGCTAAAATCTTTTCTCTAGACTTTGTGTCCAATTTTGTTTATCAATCACATAGAAAAGAATGGTATCTATAAGCAGAATTGCTTACCTCAGAAAAGATTTTTAAAAATAATAGCCCTTTCAAAATTACATAATATAGAAAAATATACACAACCCAGCTTCTGCAAATCATTATCTTTAGGGATAAATGTTTTCAATTTTGGAGAGTAAATACCCAGGAGAGAAATTGCTGGGTCATAAGGTAATTCATTTCTTAATATTCTGAAAAATCTCCACACTGCCTTCCATAGTGGCTACACCAATGAGCTTTCCCACCAACAGTGTATGAGGGTTCCTTTTTCTCCACAGCCTCTCCAACACTTCTTATTTGTATTGTTGATGATAGCCATTCTAACTGGTGTGAGGTAATATCTCATCGTGGTTTTTATTCGTATTTCTCTGACTAGTGATCTTGACCATCTTTTCATATGTCTATTGGCCATATGTATGTCCTCTTTAGAGAAATATCTATTCAAGTTTCTGTCCTTTTTTCTTTTTTTAGGATTTTATTGGAGAATTGGGGAAGAGGAACAACCAAGTTGTTTTCCTTCAGTCTTAGTTGTGGATGGCACAGACAGCTCATCTCCAAATCCAGTCCCCATCTGGCTGCCCGTTGGCAGCTTGAGGCCACTCAGCTCAAAGTGCCATGTTCAATCTTAGTAGTGGGGGAATGGGGGTGTGGGTAGCACAGCCCACCATCCCATGTGGGAGTCGAACCGGCAACCATGTTGTTAGGAGGACGTGCTCTCACCAGCTGAGCCATCCTGCCTCCTGTTGGCAGCTCAGCAGCAGCTCAGCTGAGGCACAGCTCACTGGCCCATGTGGGAATCGAACTGATAGACTTGTTGCTCAGAGCTGGCTTTCTTAACCAACTGGCCAGCCCCTCTCAAAATTTTTTAATTGGACTGGTTTTGTTGTTGTTGTTGAGTTGTATGAGTTCCTTATATTTTGGCATATTAGCCCCTTTACAGGATGTTGTTTGCAAATATCTTCTCCCATTAGGTTAGTTGCCTCTTTATTTTGTCGATGGTTGCTTTAGCTCCAATGTTCATTGCAGCTTTATTTATGGTGGCCAAGACATGGAAACAACCAAAGTATAATTCAATAGATGATTGGATAAAGAACGTGTGGTTTATATACACAATGGAATACTACTCTGCCATAAGAAAAGATGAAATAGTGCCATTTGTGATAACATGGATGAATCTTAAGATTATTAGGCTAAGCAAACTAAATCACATAGCAAAAGTCAATAATCATATGATTTCACTGAAATGTGGGATATAAAACTGAAAGCAGCAAAGGAACAAGACAAAGAAAAAAATCTCATAGGCACAGACAACAGTTTAGTAGTTACCAGGGGTTAAGATGTGAGGGGGATCGTAGATTATGGTAAATGGGGTTAAGTATGTGAAGATGGAAGGAAAGCTGACTCTCGGTGAACACACAATGTGATATACAGATGATGTATTACAGAATTGTACAATTGAAACCTATGTAATTTATTCATTGTCACCCCAAAACTTTAAATAAAAAACAAGAAAACAAATAGTTATCATTTAAAAGGGTCATACCCTTGGGCCGGCCGAGTGGCGCGGTGGTTAAGAGCTGGCTTGGGACGCCAGAGTGCCCCAGTTCGGATCCCACATATGAGGGCCAGTGACACTGCCCTCCACAGCTAAGATGCTGAACAACAGCTCAACCTGGAGCTGGGCTGCTGTGAGTTGTCGGTGACAACATAGGCTGCAGCCACTGCTGCAGTGGGTTGCCATGGGCTACCGTGTGTAGCCAGCAGCCAGCGTGAGCGGCCAGCAGCCAGCGTGAGCGGCCAGCAGCCGCAGTGAGCGGCCGTCCAGAAGCCGGCGACTGATCTGCCTCGCCCGGGAAGAGCGCAATGATGGTGCCAACTTGGGCCAGTGAAGCAACGTCCTCCACAACTAGACTGAAGAACAAAAGGACAGCAACTTGTCTGTCCCTCTTCCCCAAATTCCCCAGCGCTGTTCCCATCTCCCAATTCCCCAATCAAAATCTTTAAAATAAATAAATAAATAAAAATAAAAGGGTCATATCCCAGAGATGATCCTATTTAAACCCAACATGAGCATCTTCTTGTCTTATTACCAAATAGGGTTGTGATCATAACAATATAAGAACTTCTTTTTACTAAATTACATCTTATGAGAATATTTTTGCTAAATACTTTATGGCATAAATTATGTCTTATGACTGATAGATTTTTAATTGGATATTACACACTGGAAGAAAAAGAATAGAATCATCAGAAAGTTAGTGCAGGGGGTCGGCTGAGTGGCTCAGTTGGTTAAGAGTTGGCTTAAGAGCACGCGCGCTCTCAGCAACAGGGCCGCTGGTTCAATTCCCACATAGTCCAGTGAATCTGTGACCAAGCTGAGCTGTTGCTGAGCTGCCAACAGGTGGCAGGATGGCTCAGCTGGTGTAACAACAAGATTGCCTGTTCAATGGTGGGCTACGCCCACCCACAACTAAGGCTGAACTCGGCACCTTGAGCTGAGCTGCTGCCCAGATGGCTGAGTGGATACAGCCTGTGCTCTTAACAATAAGGCTGCTGTGTTCGACTCCTGCATGGAATGGTGGCTACTATGCCAACCTACAACTAAGACTGAACTCAGCACTTTGAGCTGAGCTGTTGCCTGGATAGGTCAGTGGATAGAGCATGCGCTCTTAACAACAAGAATGCTGCTTCGACTTCCCCATGTGATGGTGGCTATGCCCACACACAACTAAGATTGAACACAGCACCTTGAGCTTAAAGGCCACGAGCTGATGGGCAGCCAGATGGCGACTGGCACCCTTCACAACGAAAATTGAAGAACAACAACTTGGCTGGTCCCTTTCCCAATTCCCCAACACTGTTCCTCTCCACCAATCCCCCAATAAAATCTTTAAAAAAAGAAAAGAAAATAAAAAAGTAGTGCAGGGTCAGCTGAATGGCTCAGTTGGTTAAGACTTAGCTTAAGAGGGCCGGCTGAGTGGCATGTTGGTTAAGAGCTGGCTTAGGATGCCAGCTCTGAACAGCAGGGCCCTGGTTCGGATCCCACATTAGGGCCAGTGATGCTGCGCTCTCTACAGCTAAGATGGTGAACAACATCTACAGCTGGGCTGCCGTGGGTCGCCGGCGACGGTGTAGGCTGCAGCCCCTGCTGCAGTGGGCTGCCATAAAGCTATGTGTGTGGATGGCAGCCAGAATGAGCTGCCAAGAGCCGCTGTCAGTGGCCATCCAGTGGCCAGTGACCGATCTGCCTCACCCAGGACGAGCACAATGATAATACCAACATGAACCAGTAAAGCCATGTCCTCCACAACTAGACTGAAGAACAAGGAAACAGCAACTTGTCTGTTCCTCTTCCTTGATTCCCCAATGCTGTTCCCCTTCTACAATTCCCCAATAAAATCTTTAAAAAAAAGATTTAGCTTAAGAGCATGAGCTCTGAGCAACAGGAACGCTGGTTCAATTCCCAAATGGGCCAGTGATGCTGCTCCTTGCTGAGCTGCCAACAGGTGGCAGATGGCTCAGCTGGTGAGAGCAAGTGCTCCTAACAAGATTGCCTATTCGATGGTGGGCTATGCCTGCCCGCAACTAAGACTGAACTTGGCACCTTGAGCTGAGCTGCCACCTGGGTAGTTCA